GCCATTATTTATTCTACAAGGTATTGATGCTCAAAAACTTGATATGCTTTACATAAAAAAGGGGATTATCAGAATGACAACACTGGTTACAAAAGAATAATCTACTAGCATTTTATTACTTATAAATTCCTCTCTCTTCAATTTCATCTATTTGGAAAAAATTGTGGTCATTAACAGATTTCTATGCTAAAAAGTGGGTTTAAATATGAATAAGCAAGGTATAGTAAATAATTTTTACAACTGTAAAGTGTGACCTACCCAAAATATCTTGCCTCTTAGGTACACATTGCTCAGCTATTTCTCTTTCAAAAAAAAAAATTGTTGAATGGGAACAGATCATTGACACAGAACAACAAAATGCAGAAATTAGAACACTTTATTATAAATATTTCCAGAATATAAACTGATTTTGTATCAAGACTCTTTGAAAATTTTAAAATTATATGTAACCTCAGATTATTATTATTTAATGTGTTTTATTTTCCACTAGAAAATACACTGCAAGTTAGATTTTAAAAAGAAAACAGTCTAAATTGTGTCACAGAGAAAACTAATGAATATAAAAATACCCTATCCAAAACTAAAACAAACCCAATCAAGAAACAGATTCTGCAAAGCCTATTAATTCTCCAATTTAAAATAAATGACCTCCCAAGGGAAAAATACTTCTATAGCAATTTCATGAGTAAAAGCAGAGGCACTCTCATTAAGGGAAATTATATTATATAAGAAAAATGTAAGGATGCTTTTAGAAAATGAAGAAAAGTAATTTCCATGTTGGAGAGTAAGCGTATTAAGTACGTTCTGTTCCCCTGGCCTGTCGTTAGACTTAAAGAAGTTAAGGTACCTGTTCACATGAAATAATCAATCTGAACACAAACATCATAAAACCAAGCTCCTCAACTGTTTTTTCAATTTAACCTTGGGAGAACCAACTCAAGAGCTTCAAAATCCCAGGATAGACTGGTCCCAAAGCATTTCCTCCTCTGTCTTCTCTTTACCTTGTTCCTTTTTCTCTTTCCTACGCTTCCGTTCCTCTTTCTTAGAGGCTACATCTCGACTTTTTTTCTCCTTTCGATTCTTAAGCTTTTCTGTATTGACCCTGACTGTTTCCATCTGTGTTTTGTTTCTTTGGAAGTTCTTGTGTTTGTCTAAATCTGGTTCCTCACAACCTTTTTTTCTCTTATGCTTGGGCTGTTCCTCCTCTGTTTTTTTTCTGCCTTCCTCTGTGTGCCTTTTCCCCTTCTGAGGTAGCTGTTTATGACTGGCACTGTTTTCTGAGGAGAGGTGCTTGTGAACTCCAGATTCTATGCTGTATGAGCTACAGTTATACTCTTGCTGACTAACGTTCAGGGGTGCTGGTGTTTCTGAGAAACAGTCCCTGGTGAACTGACAGTAGCTCAGGGAGCCAAGTCTTAGCCTGCTGGCATGAGCTGGTAGCCACTGAGGTAACCGGTTTTCCACTTTTTGTGAACTAGGGCATGATCTTGGGTAGGTCTGCACAGTTTCAGATGAGAGTCTTCGATCAAACATTCTATACCTTGGTCTGTAATCAGCCTCTTTGTACCTACAAGTTTCCCAACAGTCCTCTCTCAACTTTCTGAAACAAGTCTTTGGCTCTAAGCCTCTAGCTTTCTGCACTTTGATATAATCTTCAAGTTCATCTTGAAAAGAGTCATAGGTCTTCTTTGAATGCTTCATTGGGTTGACAAGGGATTCTCTGTAGAGAAGATGGGAGAAAACTCTTCTTACTAGATTATTTCATTCTGAATATTTTCTAAGCTCTTGAAGAGAGTGTCAAAAAAAACAAAACAAAGAAGCCCAAAAGAATTAAAACCTAATTCAGCATAAAAGTTAAATATCATGACATTATATGTCAAAAAGGTGCATTAGGATAGTTAAATATCTCCTGGGCTACTCACAAGTAACTCTATCTTTCTCAGAAATGGGATGAAGAAGGCAGAAGGGAGATGGCACATAGGGTTTTTTGTATGGCTAAAAATGTAAGGCATATAGGGATGTATGGATAAGAACTACACATCCCTGATAGATGGCCTGATCGCATGCTCATATGATTTCTAAAGTTCTGATTTAATCAGTTTCTTGTATATTGTTTTCTAAGAAAAGTAATAGACCACAGAGGGGTAATTTAATCTTTAAAATCTTCGGTTTACTCAAACAAAATAAAATAAACACATACTTACCTGACTAGAGTACTCTAAGACTTAATAAAAGGATATTTACAAAATAGTTTGGGAATGCTGGAAATTAGAAATTCAGCTATGAGACAAAACTACTCTTTAGTACGGGGCATGAGGGAAGATGAGGGAACATAGTTCTGTACCTTCCGTACAGGGCTTGGATTTCATTCTGTTAGTTCTGATTGGTGAAAAAAGCATTCTAGAAGTCTTCTGGTTTGTTCTCTATTAAAGTACTGGTGGGAGTGTTAAGGGAGGAAATAGAGGTGAAAGCTGAGAGAGGGTCAGACTGATGCAGAGCAAAGTTTCAGGTGGAATATAGAGCCGATAGGCTAGTTTTTTGTTGGCTTGTTTGATAATTTTGGTGGAGGCAGCACTATTCCTGATTTCCCCTCCCTCAAATCCTGCGTAAGTGCAAATATAGTAGAAAACACACTACAAGACGACAATGCCCTAGATATTTTTGGTGATATACTCTGTCTCCCAAAATTAGGAGGCAGCATAACCCATGTAGAAGAGAACATTTCTCCCCTTTAATTGAAAGAAAGAAACCTGATAATAGCACTCCAGGGCCACTAATAATTAGCTATCTTTTCTGGAAATTTGAGATTAATAATAAAGTCTAAATGAAGCCTCAGTTGGCGAGTCAGAAAATTTAGCTCCTATTCAACTTAAATAGTATAAAAATTCTAACAGAATAATGTAACAAATATTTGATTAAATATAGGCAAAAGATTTAAACAGACACTTCAGAAAAGAATACACACAAATGGCCAATGAACACATGAGATGAGAAGATACCATTAGTCATGGAGTCAATGTCCATTAAAAACCACAATGAGACACTACTATGAACAGGAACATTCACTACGGTGACTGAGATCAAAAGAATGATATTATCAGTGGTGTTGGTGAGGATATGGAACAATTAGAATTCTCATAAATTGCTTGTTAGGGATTTAAAATGGTACAACCACTAAGTATGATCTAGTTATTCCATTCCTAGATATTTCTCCCAAAAGAAAAGGAAATATATGTCCATACAAAGACTGATACATGAATGTCCACAGTAATTTTATTTTTAATAGTCCCAGAAAGGGAAAAAAACAAAATGATGATCAACAGGTAAATGGAACAATCAAATAGTGATATATACATACAATGAAATATTATCAGCAATAAAAAGGAATGGATCATTGATACAGTCAACAACATGGATGAATCTCAAAATAATTATGCTGAGTGAAAGAAGCCTGACAGAAAGAGTATATAATATATGATTCAATTCCATAAAACTCTAGAAAATGCAAACTAATGTATAGTAATAGTTTTTGCTTGGGGATGAAGCAGGAAGGGGTGGGTGGGATGATTATAAAGGGCACTTTTTGGGGTCTGGATGCATGTTTTGTACACTGATCACTTGAAGATATATACATCTGTCAAAACCCATCAAAATATGTATTTTAAATACATAGATTATTATATGTTAACTGTACCTCGATAAAGCTATTTTTACAAAGTCACTAACAAGATTAAAAAGACACTGATAAATGTTGAAACTGGATAATGGGTATATGAAGGTTCATTACACTATTTTCTCTACTTTTAAGTTTAAAAAACTTTTATACTTCATACCCACAAAGATGGCTATAATAAAAAAGAGGTAGATGATATTAAGTGTTGGCAAGGATGCGGAAAAGTTGGTAACTTCATTCGTTGCTTGTGGGGAGGTAAAATGTGCAGCTATTTTCAGAAACAGCAAGGGCTTCTGGTCCTGTGCACACAGGTCTGAGCCTACCCAGAGCCAGGTAGACAGTCACCATGAAGTTCCACCCCTTTGTGACTTCAGATGGTAGCAAAAACCCCCAAATGCCACTTAAATCTCCCCTGCACAGGAAGATCACGTTTTTCCTACTTTCTAAGGAGCTGTGGGAAAAGTACAACATCTACTCCAGGCCCATCTGCAGAGATGATGGGGTCCAGGCAGTTCAAGGACACTATAAAGATTAGCAAATTAGCCAGGCAGTCCAGTCATACAAAAAGAAATAGGTCATCTATACCAAGTGAGTACAACGTGAGAAGGCTAATGGCACAACTGTCCATGTGGACACTCACCCAAGCAAGATGGTTATCACCAGGCTAAAACTGGATAAAGATCAGAATAAAATTCTTGAATGCAAAGCCAAATCTTGACAAGTTGGAAAAGAGAAAGGCAAATATAAGGAAGAACTTACTGAGAAAAATGCAGGAATGAATACAATCTGTTATGCAACCATAGTAGATTTTTAGCCTACTCTGTATTTGAGACTTTTCAAGATGTCTCTTAAGCATTTCATTTCCTTCCTGTTTTGTTATTGTTACGTGAATCTACTTTTGCTGTTTTGTAAATCTACTTTTGCTGTTTTGATTAATAATTTTATAAATAATCACCGGAAAAAAGAAAACAGTACGGCAATTCCTCAAAACATAAAAAGTGTTACTGCATGACCCAGCAATTTCACTCCTAGGTACATACCCAAGAGAACTGAAAACCTATGCTCACACAAAAACTTGTACAGAAATGTGCACAGCAGCAATATTCATAACAGCTAAGAGGTAGAAACAACTCAATATCCATGAACTGCTGAATGGATAAAATGCAGTATATTCATACAATGGAATATTACTCGGCAATAAAAAGGAATGAAGTGCTGATACATGATACAACATGGATAAACCCTGAAGGCATGCTAAATGAAAAAAGTCAGTCCCCACAGCCCACAGGTCATGCACAGATCAATAAAGAGGTGAATGGAAACTTACTCGTATCAGGCTGAGAACTTGGTGAAGAAATCTGATCATAGTCACCCATTAATTGCTTCAGTTTTCTAGCATGAACTTTCCCCACATGGTGAAACTGTGCAACAATCAGCAAGCTAAAAAACACGATGCAGAGATCCCAAAATCGATTTCTGTGTAATACTCCATTCCCAGTCATCTGAAACCAAGTACAATCTTGTTATAATTTAATTATATTTAATTACATTAAATAGTTCAAAGTTTAGAATTTTACTATCAACATAGATCCATCATGTCAGAAATCCATCTCCAATTTCTTATTTCACTTCCTGTAAGTCTGAAAGTTAGGCTAACTCTCTGAGCATGTATTTTACCCCAGAATAATAAATATTTTGTTTTAGAACAAAGTGATCCCAAATTTCCACCTCTAAATTTGCAGATAGTATTAATGATTTTTAATATATTTAGTCTAGATGAAGAGTTTAGGAATAGAGTCTTGCTCACTCACAAATCAAAGTATCAGCTTCAGTAGAAATAATCCAATGATCTAGAAGATCTCTAGTTTCAACCCACCTCATGTCAAATCCTTTGCAATTCAAACTGTATCACTACTCCCTGTATGCCTTTTACAAAGGGTATCTGTAAAAGTTCAATATTTATTCATTCAACATGGTATCTATGAATAAAATAAAGGGAGATAAGATAGAAGATCGTATTAAATATTTAAGGTAATATATTTTTTAAAGATTTTATTTATTTATTGACAGAGAAAGAGAGAGTACAAGCAAGGAGAACAGCAGGCAGAGAGGGAGAAGCAGGCTTCCTGCTGAACAAAGAGCCTGATGTGGGGCTCCATCCCGGGATCCTGGGATCATGACCTGAGCTGAAGGCAGATGCTTAACCGAATGAGCCACCCAGGTGCCCTAAGATAATATTTTCAACCTTTAAATAGATATCATTTCATATACCATCTCAAATCTTAACTTCCTGAGAGGTTTCAAGGCTATATACTAGCTTTTTTGCTAATTACAATGAAATTTCAGTATGAAAACATTTAGGAAGCCTCTAGTCTTTAATATGGTAATATAGTTTTATTTAGTCCAGAAAATACAATTCTGAAAGAGAAGTTACTGGGTTACCAGTATGAGTGTATATCTTTTCTGATACCAATCATGCAACATCAAAATTGTACTTCCTATGCAGCCATTTTTTTTTAAGATTTTATTTGTTCACCAGAGACACAGACAGAGAGGCAGAGACATAGGCAGAGGGAGAAGCAGGCTCTATGCAGAAGCCTGATGCACAACTTGATCCCGGGACTCCGGGATCACGCCCTGAGCCAAAGGCAGATGCTCAACTGCTGAGCCACCCAGGTGCCCCCCTATGCAGCCATTTAAATGAATGCATTGGAACCACATATACTGTCACGGAGAAATGTCCATGATATATTAATGGGGAAAAACGATGTAGAAGTCTATCTATCTACCTATTTACCTATCTACTGATCAATCTAAGACCCAATTTTAATATAAAAACACTCAACATACAGAACCAAAAACTAAATATATTCATATATGTATATTGTAAAGGAGTCAAAGGAGCTAGGCTGCAGTCCATTAACTTCCTTTCTGGGGGCGGGGAGGGGTGAGGGAAGAAGGCAGGTGACTTCTGGACCCCTGACTAAAAGACCAATGAATGCTATTAGCTAGGAGAAGGGGAATTTATCTTTGACATACCCTTAGCAAGGCGTCTCTGATTAAGGATTATCTATAGTAAATAAATTCAGGACCTATGAGGCAAAGCACTCCAAGGAATATTACATAAATGGAGGTGATTCATAATTTAAATACTTTGTGTGAGGTGACCCTCACTTAGAAACCTCATCTATTATTTTGGGTCAGAGATGCATGACTAACGTAGGAAAACATAGTTTGAGGAGCCATCTTTCATGTTCTAAATATCTCTGCTTCTTTAGAGTTGTCTGATTGCTTGTATCCTTGAAATATGTAGTAAACCTTGATACTAGGTAATATTACTGATTTGTGTTAGTTTGACAGTCTAATCTTGTATCCAATACCCACAGGAAAAAAATCAGAAAAGATATAAACTAAACTTAATGGGGCTTGGGAAATGGGTTTAGGAAAGGAGTAAGAGACATTTAACATTTTGCTCTCTGCACACATCTGTATTAATTTCAGCAAGTAACATTACTCTGTAACTAAAAACTCCATAAAAAGTTGATTTAAAGGTTCTACAGGGTATCTTCAAATTAAGCTTAATTTTCAGTTACCAGTATATAGAGTAAAAAAAGTTTGCTTAAAAATATTATGAGTTCAGGATGCCGGGATGGCTCAGTTGGTTAGGTGTCTGCCTCCAGCCCAGGTCATGATCCTAGGGTCCAGGGATGGAGGGCCGTGTCCAGCTGCCTGCTCAGTGGGGAGCCTAATTCTTCCTCTCTCTCTGCCAATTCCCCCCACTCCTGCTCATGCTCTCTCTCTCTCAAATTAATAAATCTAAAAAAAATATGAGTTTAAGAACTGTTAATCAAAAACATTTTAGAAAGGATGATGAATATTTTAAAATGTTTCTCTATTATATATAGTATCTATCTAAATTACTTGAGTTGTTTTAAGGTATATAACTTAATTACATATGGCTCTAAAGTTAAAATGAAAAGCAAGCCATAAAACAGGAGAAAATATTCCCATCTCACATATCAGACAAAGGACTTATATCTAGAATATATAAAGAACTCATATGACTCGATAAGACAAATCCATATTAACATGGGCAAAATATCTGGACACCTCAAAAAAATATATATGCAATTTAAAACCCTACACCATCACTGGAAATGATTAAAATTAATAGGATCGATAATATCAGAAGTTGGTAAGAATACTGAACAATTAGTTAGAATTTAAAATAGTACAGCTTTACAAAGCAGTTTGATACTTTCTTTAAACATTAAACAGGGGATCCCTGGGTGGCTCAGTGGTTTAGTGCCTGCCTTCAGCCCAGGGTGTGATCCTGGAGTTCTGGGATTGAGTCCTGCATCAGGCTCCCTACATGGAGCCTGCTTCTCCCTCTGCCTGTGTCTCTTATGTGTCTCTAGTGAATAAAATCTTAAAAAAAAAAAATTAAACATCTACCATATGACCCAGCCATTTCACTTGTATTAGCCCAAGAGAAATGAAAAGATACATCTCTGCAAAGACCTGTACATGAGTATTCATTGCAGATTTATAATAGCCCAAAACTGAAACAACCCTAAGGTCTGCCAATAGGCTAATGGATAAACAAAACATGGTGTATCTATATAATAGAATTATTCAGCAACAAAAAGAAACAAAAATATACACACAATGTGGATGAATCTCAAAACCATGCTTCCTGCAAGACACAAGAGCATGATTCTATATTTGTAAAAAGTTCTAGACATATAAACTAATCTATAGTAATAGAAAGTAGATTAGTGGTTGTTGGGGACAGAGGTAGAGGGAGGGACGGATTATAAAGAGGCCTGAGAAAGCTTTTGTTGTTGATGGAAATATCTGGCATTTATTGTTTACAAATGGTTGTGGGAGTATACACCTGTCAAAAACTCACTGCCTTGTATACTTTAAGTATGTGTATATTTTAAGTACAGTGTATCTCAATAAAGTGTATCAGAGGAGCTTAAAGATCTGTAACAGATATTTTTGGAAAGGAATAATTTTACCTTAATTTGTTAAACTGGATTGTTAAATGTTGGCTTTGTTTCCAGAAAGATTGTTCACCTAACAAAGGCCAATTCACTTATGCAGAACTACTGCCGGTATATTATGTCACTTATCTCACTGCTCCTAGGAGCCAGACATAGGGACTCTGGAGTCAGTTCTGGCACTTATTAGCTGTGTAAGCTCAGTTAAATTTCTCAACCTCTCTGTGCCTTAAGTTCCCCATCTTTAAAATAGGGATATAACATACACCTCAAAAGAGTTGTGAGCCTTAAGGAAATGAATACATGTAAAATGCTTAGAACGGTATATGGCCCATGGAAAGTGCTGAATGAATGAGCTACTTTCATTGTTATTTAGGATTTCATTTATTTAACTGACATAGTGAAATGTTCTCCCAAGCATTAGAGTAACTACAGAAAGCCAAATAAAGGAAAGGTTATATGTAAACAGAGCAGGAGTGCCGGACAGGAGTACCTAATAATTTTTGTTTCAAGCTAACTCATGTTTTAGAGGGAGTTTTTAAAAATGAAAGCTGAGGGGCACTTGGGTGGCTTAGTCAAGTGTCTGATTCTTGATAACGGCTCAGGTCATGATCTCGGGGTCATGAGATCGGGCCCCGAGACAGTTTCCCTGCTGCCTGGGATTTTCTCTCCCTCTCCCCTTCTCTCTCTAAAATAAGTAAATCTTAAAAATAAAATTAAAATGAAAGCTAAAAGTTAGACTTGATCAGTCAATATTGTCTTTTATGATTGCTGATTTTGAACCAATTTTTTGAAGATTTCAGTTTATAACCTGTTAATGTGTGTCATGTATATTTTAATACTCATAGGAGTGTGGAGTATCAAGCAGACCTAAGATACTAGCTAATTTTACTATTTATAGGCTGGTACAAGGTCCTAAGCAAGAAACAGTTTGTCTTGACCAAAACTCATTTCTAGTATTTTTGGAAAAAAATCTAACAAAATTCTGAAAACTTCCTATTTATACTGCACATATACCACAAACTTATAGATGAATACTCATAATGCTATTTACTTGCTCATTTACCTCTAGGAAATATATCATAGTGAAAAGAGCAAGAATATGGTATCTTTTATTTCAGAGAAATGAAAGTATGTAGGTTATTCAATAGCTGGAGGCTTGGTCTTTATTTCAGTAAAAACAAGGAAAGCCACTGTGGAAGTTAAAACACCATACATCAACTATTATGTTAAATATGAAACACATTAGTAATATGAATTACTCATAATTCAAAACTGCCAAAAAGAGCTTCATATCTTAATAAAAAACTAAGAACCGCTCTAATTCTAGAACTGTCAAGAGAGAACTTGTTCCATTCCACCCACTCATTTAGAAATTGTAAAACCTGAACTTTGGCACTGTATAAAATGTTCTTAATAAGTCTCGGGTTTGGTGAATAAATCAACTGATTTTAAGTGAAAAATCTTATTAAAAAATTTTATGCCCCACATCATTT